GTATCCAAAACATCTATGCTTTCGTCGAGAGCAATTGAGAAATAGGAACAATTAGCGATAATGTCTTTCACATTATAATATCTGGTTGCTAATATCTTCCAGCCTCCTGGTAACAGTCTGTTTTGAAAGGGGCACTGTTTGAAATTTGTTTCCTACCATATATTCATTGAAAGCTTCTGCCATCTTTATCGCACAGTTCTTAATTAATTCACCATCATTTAATGCTTTTTAGCTTTCATTAATTCATATGTCACGAAATAAGAAGCCAGCAAAGCTTCTTCTTGTTGTTTTGTTTCACTGGTAAAAAGCGATTTCTGCTGGAAAAGTTTTTTCTTTAACTGATCGCAGACTATTTTCCTTGATTCACAAGAGTGTTGTCCGTACTTCTGTTTATGATTTGTCATGTAATGCCTCTTTAGGTTGTACTCCTTTAAAACTGCTAGCACTTCAAAACATACTAAACACTGTGGCTTGTGGTCTTTATTTAATATAAAAAATAGTCATGTTCCCACTCAGATTTGAACACCCTATTTTCACTATCAACTTTTCTCAATTTACTATTTGACATGCTGTATCACTTACAATAACTTCAAACACAATTTTAATTTAAAAACAGTTCTACACTCACACTGCGTAATCACACTTCACTTTCTAAAATCGCACTAACTGGGAGACATTTCTGCTAAAACTGGCACTTAACAAAGGCCAGGATGCCGAGAGAAACGGTAAACATCCCATCGCTGCGAGCAAGCTGGGAATGGTTATTATTTTGAAGGTGTCATAAATCCTTCACCACTACGGTCTTCCCTTCAGTGTCATCTCCCTACAGAAGTAGGGTTGGGGGACTTGGAATTTCCATGACAGTTATTAGAAAACAGTTTGAACTGTCCAACTCGGTAAGAATGTATACAGTCAATTGCAAAATGCTGTAAGCTAATGAAACGTCCTATTAAAAACTGAATTCTATGCCAATACAGCTGTGAAGTTAAGATTTTTGAAAATAAACCTGAGACTTGGCGGGGGGCCGGAGTAAATCAAGTCGCGGGCTGGATACGGCCCGCAGGCCGCCAGTTGGCCATCGCTGTTCTATGTGATCTGTGCCGAACCTATATAAGGGCAGCGAACACTATTCAGCCAGCAGTTAGTATTCAGAGTATTCGGCGGAGCAGAAGTCTGTTAGTCGTGGGAAGAAGAACCGAACGCGTGGTTAGAAGTTTTTATGTGATAATCAGTGATTGTGTGCGATAACTGAGAAGTCAGCCCAGTTAAGACTTACTGTGACACTTCAAGACTTTATGTGTGCTAGTACAGTTATATGTCCACCATTGTAGAGTATTAAAAATTGTAAGAATGTTATTGAAAATGCTGTGATTTCTACAGTTTTTGTCATAAACCAACGAAATAAACGCTGCTTTTATCTAGAAAGAATATAGCATCAGCTATTGTAATTTACAGATTTTAGAATCTGTAAAAATTGTTACATTGATTCCAAAAATAAAATTTCCAAATTTTGAGCGTCTGTCCACAAATATGCATAAAGTTTCTGCAGTATAAATGCATGCTGCTGATGCACTGTCTTACATTGTCTTGTCTGGCAAAAGGACAGGAAGTTTATGTTTGTATTGCACATTCTCCAGTCACGTCGGGACCTTTCTGTATGTACGAGTGTGGGCGAAGTCTTATCGTATTTTGTCCTTTAGAAACTCTGCCTGTTTATATCCCGGACTAACCACATAGAGGTACTGTTCTTGGAATATCCCCGCAATGCCCCCTTGCTTCCTCGACCCTTCAGAGTCGTCTGTACTGCATTCTGAATGGTGTGATTTATGAGCGGCCTCTCAATTTCGGCTTGTTCCATGCAAAAGTGGGCCATGGCGGATAGTTGAAATTGCGATGTTTTATAAGTGTTATGATTATATTGGATGTGTGTAATTCAGCGACACTTGTATAGCTCCCATGTTATACTGTAAATAAGTGAAGAGATTGTGTTGGGTTTGTAAATTGTGTAAACTCAATAACAGTGTCATAATTAATTGTAGTTACGACTTGTAGGTTATTAAATCTGAACGGCGTCTTCAGTAGCCAAACATGTTACAATATCATTTCATCATTACCACAGACATTTTGGACATTTTAGAGGAAGAGTGTGAAGGTGCTGCTCACACTTATCAGTCACATAACTGTGAAGGTGTATGAATCTGTAAGTGATCAGGTGATGATCATTCATCACTTTGAGGTACAACTGAGGCCCACAGAAGAAATCTGATGAGTCTTAAAATGGAAGGCACACAACAAGCTATGCATATTTGGCTAAACAGAGATGGCAAGAAGCATTGCAGCTTGGCTACTCTGCTAAGACACTTTTGCTTTGTTATGTCAGAATGTCCAAGTGGTAGCTTAATTGGTTGAGGCACTATGCTACAAACCAGAAGGTGATGGGTTCAAGTCCCAATGAGGTCATTAGATTTTGTTTTTCAGTTGACCTAATCCTTCCGGCCGCACTATGGCCCTGGGGTCGACTCAGCCTCTAACAGAAATGAGTACCAGGAATTAACTAAATAATTTTTCTGGGGAGTAAAGTGCGGCCGGCGCGTAAGGCTGACCTTACCGCTATCTTTGAGCCGATTTCCTAGATGATGTGGGACCCTCAACGTCTTACAACCCCATGGACCTCCACGGCCTGTTACAGGGACAGCTTTACTTTTTTTTTTGTCACTGTCCAGCTTTGTTTCTTGAAATGTCATGTGGAAAGATAAATAGCCGAAAGACAGCACTTCAGAACTTTCTTGTGAATTCCCACAAATTTCAAGCACTGTTCTGTATGAGAATGTCACAGTTAGGTATTGGTATCACAAGTTTTGCACAAGATGGATTCACAAAATGTCCACAGGTGCACAGAACTTAGAGAATGGCTTCAGCTTTTGTAGGATTGTTTAGAGTGATACCACAAAGATGGCAATGGATATCTCAGTCACACTGTACGGGTAACAGGTGATGAAACCTGTTTTATTTATGAATTTTGAAACCAAAGAGTAGTCAAAGCAGTGGATGCTCACGCAGTGTTTTCTGGGACATGGTGGAATTTATGCAATAGTGGAGCACAATGTTAGAACCTTATTGCAAATCACTAAAAAAAATTGTACAGGGCCTCAGAAAAAAGGCATAGAATGCTCATATCTGGTGTAATGCTCCTCCTCAACAATGCGTGTCCATATACAGCTGTTCGCACTCGAGAACTGCTGGATCTTTTCACCTTGGAGTCATTTGACAACCCTCCTTACATCCCCGATCTCGTTCTGAGCAACTACCACCCGTTTACTCCTGAAGAACTGGTCCAGATCACAGTGCTTCAGCAATAATGAGTTAATGGAAGGTGTCAAAATGTGGCTGAGCCCATAGGCTTACAAAAACTTATTCCCCAACATAAGTGCCTTGATTGTGGGGTAACTATGTTCAGAAGTATCTTAAGTACGTACCTTTGTCTATAATAATTTTATCCCTCATTGTTTTGTTAACAGGTCATATGAGGTTACTTTCGAATGATCCCCCCCCTCCAAACAACTTGTGTATATCTAAGTCTCTTTGCTGATGACACCCGTATACAGGGTGTCCCAGGAGGAATGTGCCAATGTGGGTTATCTCAGCATACTTTAACATAAGGAACACCCTCCCGAAGTTTGGCACATTCCTCCTGGGACACCCTGTGTAAGTTTTTCCGGCATCTTTGATTATGATATAGTAGTGCACATTTTATATACAATAGTATATTAATCACTTTACTATTTACTGGTTGTTTCACTAGCCATACTTTTGTAACAATATCCTGTGACATTGACCCTCAGTTGATGTCTGTGTGTTCTGGTACTGTTAAACTGATCTTCAGACATTATGTATCTCACCATAAAGTGCCCCTAGCATGTGTTGTAAAGGATTTGATTTATAGAACTTAATGCTACATGAAATAGAATGTTTTGGTCCTCAGATTTCTGTTCATGTATAAATTGGCTTGATTTGTTTGGATGCTCCTTAAAATGGCCTAATGGCTGATTATGTTGGATATATGATCATTTACTGGTTAAAAGACTGGCTGCATTAGAAGATGCCCTGAATTCTACTTGGTGTCCTTAATTTCAACAAAGATTTGGTGTCAGCATTTGGGCTGAAATTGTAAACAATTCCCTAATCGGACCATACATGGTACCAAACCACTGTTGTGATATGCCCCTTAATGTTTGTGGTTTTGGCATGACAGTGATCCTCTCCACTCTTCGCACCAGTGCATATTTGGTTGAACAACCAGTTTTCAGATATGGATCAGCTATGGTGGCCTGTCTGGCCTCCAATGTCTTCTTATCTGAGCCTTCTTGACTTTTTTCTTATAGGGACACAAAGACTATGGAAGTGTGACTGAAAAAAAAACACATCCAATAGAAGACAGAAAATATAATGATCATGTGATGGCATGGGCATATAGAAAGGATCCCAGAATAAAGATCAACAAACAATCCATTTTACATCAACCATAAATTAAAGAAAATGGATGATAAAAATAAAGTGATCAAAAAGGAATTCGTAACACACTGTAAACAAAATCTGAAGGAAACTGAAACTTCAGCAGTTCTGAGATTATAAATGAATTCATAAAGCAACAGAGGGTAAGATGTGAATGAAACAGGAATTTTCACGTTATAAAGAATAACTTGGAACCTATGAAACTGACAGCCAGGTAAGCTCTGTAAGCCACATGATTGGCTATGGGCTGGATTGCTAGGCACAATATTCAGAGTGCCTCCAAGATCCAGTGGGGAATGGAAGAGCTGTCCTGAGGGTGAAGCGACTGCAGCTTGAAGCTATTCATTTGCCATCTAGTGTCAAGATTAAGAATATAAGTTTTGCCTCCACTTTCCCATAAACTTGCATGGCATGGTACATAGGCACAGGATCACATTAATTTTTAACTATGAAAATAAGGGGGGGAGGGATGAATAAAGTACAGTGTATCTGTTATAACAAAATACAATATATTGCAGTCAGTAAAGTTTATCATAAAAGATTTGTGTTTTTGTAATGCAAACCGTCACTCAGCCTCTTAAAAGAAGCTGTTCCAAGTGTCATATTTAATTTACACAACATTTCCATGCAGTCATCTGATGCAACTATATTGCTGGCAAGCAACAGTCACATAGTTTCCAAATTCCTCTATTCCAATTCCCCTAAATTCCATTGGAGAATGAATCTTAATTTGTCGCATATGAGTGTCTCTTCCATTTTGATGATTACTAATAACTGCTATCTGGATCATAAATGTCCTTATTGGTTTTTCATGAATGTCTTTAATTGGTATGAGGACCCAACCTGTAGGCTCATTCAGGTCAATCACTTCAACTTCTTGAAGATCATTAAAATTAGTGCCAGCTCGAATGGAAATACTGCAACAAAAAACATAAAATTTATCTTATTTTCATATACATGGTGTGTCCAGGATCTGTTAGGACTCTTTTGTATTGATTCAGAAGGAGACTATTTTGAATAAAAAGAGTGAAATTTTAAAAATAATTCATGTCTTGTATTTTTAATGAACACAGTCCTAACAGAACATGGACACACTGCGTAAAACCTCAGTGCAGGGCACCAGTTGGTCAGTTATAAGAATATAATTTAATTACATATCTGAAACAAGGTCACTAAGAAAGATCTGAAATAAAAAACACTGCATCATAAGGAGATGAAATTAAGGATAAAGGGGTACAGACATGTTGTTCCTCTTCCTCCTTTGTTCCAATTTTTATGTCTAGCCAACCAAGCCTCTCCATATTTATTTTTCTCCACCTTCAATTTCCTCCCATGTTCTTTCATTCTATTGTATGACATCTCGCCTAGCATGCTGCTCCCATCTTGATCTCAGTCTTCTTACTGGATTTTTCTTTTTAGTTTCATGGGATTTCATTCTAAAATTTGCTACTGCCATCTTGTTCTGTCACATCATCCATACATTTGTCTTGATTTTTTTTTTCATTTCTCATTGTCTCTGTTCTGTTTCTTCCCTCTGCATGCATTGCAACAACAAAGTAATGAGATAAATAAAATACAGGAAGTTTTGGGAAGAACTGATCACCTAAATTTCTTTCGCTACATACTGACTATGTGATATGACATGGAATTCACAGACAACACTGGGTCCAACAACTTTGGAATGCAATGTGATATGCCTGAAAGCTGGAATAGAGGAGCCAGAAGAGACGGCCACTGCTAGGCAATGGTTCAGTAAACAAGTTCCAGTAGCAATGAATACACATGCAAAAAAGTTGGTGGGGTGGGAAACATCAAAGTAATCTCATAAGCCTCATTTTATTTGTTTCAAAATAAGGAAAGCTGGGTAAAAAAAATATGCAGTATGAGATATAGTTCCATGAGGGGCTGCTATAGACTCACTGAACTGTGACTTTGGCAGTCACGCTAAATGACTAGCTGGGGTTATATTGCTGTTTTGTATGAATGTGCTTTGTGAACTGTGTGTCATGCACACTCAGGTGCCACACACTGTAACAAGTTAACATCGAGTTGTGTACAGCTGGGGGAAAATCCCACTAAAGCACATGAAATTTGTAATATTGGCTATAAATACCTTAATAGCCATTTTAATTAGAATTTCAATTGTAATTTTAATTTTTGTCCATTTAATATCAAGTTTAATTCTAGTTTTAACTATATTTGAGCCACATTTTAAAATTAAGCGACAAGTAGAGTTGTCAGTATAGAATAATCATACAGACACAATACAAATTCATATTGATTTATGACACAATTCAGAAGCTAAATTAGCATTTGTGTATGCCTAAAGATGACCGAAGAAAAGGGTTGGACCATGTAGTCGGACCATGTAGCATGTGGAAGTTGACCCTCACAATGGCCAATCAAAACGAACTTCCAGCGCAGAATTGGGCAAAGTGCACAATCTACACACAGGGAACTGCTGAATGACACTAAGCATGATGGCAAGCGAACTAAATGGGGCGTAGTTGTGGCAGGATATGGAATAATGGTTAAACCAGGAATCATACAGAAAGATGCACGCGTGCATGCTGCCTAAACACAATGGGCGGGGGGGGTCCCCCACCCTGTTTGTGCCTCTTGTTCACTAAAAGATGGAGATCTTCATTCTCTCATGAAGATACAGGACCATTATAGCTAAGAAGCTGTCATAAAAATAAACTGTTACTGTACGTGCCCCCCTCCATCAGATATATTACATGTTGGGTGCCTCACTGCATTCAGTCAAGGGATTCCTACTGTGCATCTCATATTAAATTAGCAGCAATAGTGATGTAATAGTGTGACACTTGGGAAAATGTAACACACAGCTGGGTTAAAAATTATGGTTGTAAATTGCATAGAAAACTACAGAAATCTCACTCTTTCTCACATAACTCATCTTCTTCCTAATATCATGCAGGCCTAATTTTTCAAACCTGAATGTAATGTATAAAACTATACTTCAAAAGGTAGTAATCACGTGTTTTATGCACTACAACCTTCAAACACAAATTTCTGGTTAGAAGTGTTTAAACTATGTTAGCAAATACAGTACAGACAATGTTTCCATCAGTCATTCACTCTGTCATAATTAAGTTAAACCAAGGAGCTGAGTCCTTGATAAGCTAATAATTGATCAGCCATTCAATAAATTTCCAGAACTTTATGGAACCCAAAGGTTCATTACCAAACTCGCAAGAGCATGTCACTAGTCCCTATTTATAGCCAGATGAATCAAGTCAACATTTTCCCATCCTATTTCATTATGATCCATTTTAATATTATGACCATCTATGACTAGGTGTTCCTAGTCGTCTTCATTGTTCAATTTTCCTACCAAAAATTTTATATGAACTTCTCATCTCTCTCATGCATGCTACACAGATTGCCTGTCTCATTCCCCTTGATTTGATTCTTCTAATATCTGGAAAGGGGTTAAAATTATGAAGCTCCTCATTATGGAATTCTCTCCTGTATTCTGTTATTTTATCCTCCTTAGGTCCAAATATTCTCCACAGCACCCTGATCTCAAACATTCTCAGTCTAATGATAGATATATACACACTTATATGCAACACAATGTTTGGGTGAGGGTGCTCAAATACAATATTATAAACCCTCAGTCTAAGTTCCTCCCTTAATGTGAAAGACCGAAGTTTCATGCCCATATAGGGCTCAAGGAAAAGTTATAGTTTTGTATATTTTAATCTTTCAAAAGAATCTGTTCAAGTTCAGCACCTTCTAAAATGTTGATTTTTATGGCAAGTCAGCCCCATGCCCCACCCTAAAGCTGGAGGATCACCCCTTCTCTGACGTCTGTGACTGATTTTACAATATCTTTGCAGCTACCCTCCATATCCAGAGACCATTTCCTCTATCTGTAACCTGAGGACGCATTGTGCTGTAGCACTGAGGTGACATAGTTGCTCAATCATATTGAAGTATGAGTATCAAAAATCTAATGTCCAAGTGCCTTGAGAAACTTGCCGGCTAGGAGTGTAGCTTTCATCCAGTTTGTAGTCTGTAAAAATACATATATCGTGCACTGTTGTCTTTCTTCTGAACTGAATATTAACCAGATGTGGCAACTGCCCATCAGACTGCCAGTAGGTGTCCATACAATCATCACGCAACTGGTCAACACCAAAACCTAAGAAAAGCAAAGAACAAAATATTAGTGCTCATTTGCACATGCATAAATGTGTACAAAAAGAAAAACTCTGTGGTCTTAGTCTGCAATCGAACTGTACCGCCCGAGCAATTGCCATTTGTTGGCAAACTTAGTGCCAACTTTGGTTGCAATATAGCTCAAGCAGTTAGTCACTGGCTTCCCACCGTGGCGGCCCAGGTTCGATCCCGGATCTGGTCAAGTGGGATTTGTGGTGGACAAAGTGGCTCTGGGGCAGGTTTTCTCTGAGTACTTCAGTTTCCCCTGCCAATCCTCATTCCACCAATTGCTCCACAATCACTCTCACCTATTATCTGGAGCTGGTACAATAGGCCAGAAGTGGCTGCAGTACAAGGGACTTAGCCCCACCCCACTAGCAATAATAAAATAAAATATATATTGCCAACTTTAGGCAATAGAGGGTGTTGTGTGGTCAGCGCAATGGATCCCCACAGCCATTAATCTCGGTTTTCTAGACCAGAGCCACTATTTCCTTGAAACAGCTCCTCATTTACCTTCACGAGGCTGAGTGGACCCCATTCCATACACACTACTTCTCAGAAAATCTGGTAGCGCTGGGAATCGAACCCGGACCTCTGACCACTAGACCACAGAGGCGGTCTAAATATGTACAAAGAGGTAAAGAAATGTATCACCTATTTTTCTCGTATAAGGGATAGACCAAGTGAATTACATGCACTAAAGAGTGAGTAGATAACTTGCAACTGAGCCATAACTATTCTCCACAAACATATCATACCAAGCAGGTGTAAAGATTTGTATTTAGAGGCAACCTCTCTTGAATTAAAGCCAACTTTAAAAGTTATCATTAATCTCCAAGATGTAAAGATTTGAGGTATTCACAGCAGTGACTATGAAGAAAGCTGTCTTCTGGGATGTGGTGCTGTGTAGATATTGTGTTAACCGACGTTTCAGAGAAACGTATCGCCTCCATCTTCAGGGTAGAAGAAAAAAGAAAATCTGTGAACGAGGAACCAGCATGAGCAGGTGATAACAGCTTTCTTCTATCCTGAAGAAGGTGGCGATACCCTCCTCAAAAACGTCAGTTAACATAATATCTACACGTGCCACATCCCAGAAGATGGCTTTCTTCAATCTCCAAGATATTCAGAAATTCAAACTGATAAAGTACTTGATGGATAGATATACAGTGTGAAATTCTTGGCTATAAAATGAACATAGTGGTTCCTTCTTTGTTCTCAGGTGGTCTCAGTTTTGAATTTTAGCCCATACACCCACTACTCTGACAGATTCCTTCTGTGGTGTCCATCATTTCCTTCAATGCAAATACTGCAACAGATCTGTTTTATTCTGGTCCGTCACTCTGACAATATCATGAAAAGTTAAACAGTTCATCCAGTGTGACTAGTCTCACTGGACAGGACCGTTTAATTGCAACAGAGCCTTACCATAGGTTACAATCATTTCCTATTCAATCATTCATAATAAACTATCTTGTCATCTGAAAATATGCATGCAATGAAAATAAAGTTTCATTAAATAATCCCAGAAGTAAATATATCACAGGACATAGGAATAATGGATGAGACACAACTGTGATGTGTTTTAGACCAACAGCAGTTGAAACATAATTTATGTAATACCACAGAAAAAAAAACTGAATAGATGGACAATATGGCGGACGGTGCAGTGCGTCAAGATAGTTGTGTCTCCACATTTCTTAGTAATAGATGTGAAATACAAGAGGTGAACTGTATAAGTTGTGAAGAACTAAGTTTGGAATTGCTTCAAGCAAAGACCAAAATATTATCATTAGAGAAAATAATAAAAATGCTACAAGTGGAGCTAAACATGACCAGACAGGAAGGCAGATCTAACCTACAAGAAGACCTGGAAAGCGTTGATGCTGTTACCACATTGCAAGTGGCGGTGAACAAAGTTCATGTAGAAGAAGCTTGCGCCCAACTTTTAAAAACACCTATGAATGTTTCTCCTAAAAGATTCCGAGTGAATTCACATCCTGAAGACGACCAAAAAGACAATTCTCAAATCTCCTTACCAAATCAACCACGAGCGGGATCGCTTGGAAAACGGTGTTCCAAAATACCAACCATAATCAATGGATCAATAATAATGGATGCAAGTGACACGCTTCAAAAGAACCATGGAAGGAGCACCATCATAAAGAATTCTACAAGTACAGAAAGCATCAAGCCTACACGCATAGTGCAGCATAAAGTGCTCATGCTGGGAGACAGTCATCTCAAGGGAAGTGTTGTTAAACTTAGAAGTGAATTAAGTCCAAAATTTAAAGTTTTTGGTGTGATTAGACCGGGAGCTGGTGCTGAACAGATTGTGAACTCTTCTGCTGAGGATCTACAGAATTTACATTCACATGATATTGTTGTTCTTAATGCTGGTGCCAATGATGTATATAAGAATAATAAGGGAGTAGCTCTAACCCAGATCACTAAGTTTATACAAAGGAACTATGGTACTAATATTATAATTTTAGATATCCCTCAGAGATATGCTCTTTCATCCTCTTCACGTGTGAATTCTGAAATTGAAGAATTTAGTAGACAATTGAAGAAAATTGCTACTTTATACAACCATGTCTCACTCTTAGAAACAAATCTCAAGAGAGAATGTTTCACAAAGCATGGTCTTCATTGGAACTCTCTAGGAAAGACTCTGGTAGTGAAACTCATATCCATGCAAATTAATAAATTACTGAGAAAAGAATTACTAACTCCAGTCAATCTTACTTGGATAGATAATGCCTTGTTGGGTAATGTAGATAGCTGTAATGAAGGGATGATACCTTTATCTGATAATGTAAATGTAAGTATGGATAGTGAGAACACAGTGAGTTGTAATGAAGAGATGATAACTTTATCTGATAAAGTAAATTTAAGTATGGATAGTGAGAACACAGTGAGTTGTAATGAAGAGATGATACCTTTATCTGATAATGTAAATGTAAGTATGGATAGTGAGAACATAAGAAATAGTCTGACCCAATCATAATGAAAGGGAAGGATGAACAAGAGCTGGAAGAGGAAGGGGCTCATATTCCACCAACAAATGGACCCTTGAAGACAGGTGGGAAAAGAAATGCCCAACCCAAGAGCATAGGAGGTTTGATTTCCACTGAATTGGTCAATACCCATGAAAAGCGTAACAGGAGAAAACCTGTGAATAGGTGCTCGGATTTTTTATGGGAGGGTTAAGGTATGAACCAAACATATGGTACACTATGATAATAAAATTTCAAAATCTTATAATAAAATAAAAACTACATGGTCAATTATTAAAAAAAAGAGACTGGATCTAAAACTCAGAAGGATGAACCCCAATCACTGAAAGTCAATAACATTATGATACAGAATAAAAAGTGCATTGCAAACATACTTAACGAATATTTTACCTCAGTAGCTCAGACAATTATAGATGATTTAAACAATAACAAAACTCCAACCAACATCAGCCCATTATACTATCTGGGCAATAAATACACGTCTACCTTTAAATCTATCAAATGGCAGTATGTCTCAACTGCTGAGATTAGAAAGATAATCAAATCTTTGAAAACCAAGTCTTCACATGGTTATGATGAAATTTCCACTAGAATTTTAAAAGCAAGTATGCCATATATAACTTCGCCACTAACTTACATTTGTAACCAATCCCTTGCCCAGGGAACGTTTCCAGACAGAATGAAATTTGCTGTCGTTAAGCCAATTTTCAAAAGTGGTAATAAATATGAACCAGCCAACTATAGGCCTATTTCATTATTGTCAGCCTTTTCTAAGGTTCTTGAAAGGGTTATCTATAATAAATTGTATGAACATATAGACAATAATCTTATATTGGACAATAATCAATATGGTTTTAGACCTAATTCATCTACAGAGAAAGCATCTTTCAAATTAATAGAGGAAATACTAAAAGCAATGAATAATAGACAGTTTGTTGGAGGAATATTTTGCGACTTACACAAAGCCTTTGATTGCATCAATCACGGTATACTTATCAACAAATTTGAGTTTTATGGAATAACTGGCAAATTTGGTGCCTTAATTAAATCTTACCTGAATGGAAGATATCAAAGAGTAACCCTTGGCCCTAACAGTTCTATTAATAGCTCGTCTAGTTGGGCAGAAGTAAAATTTGGTGTACCCCAAGGTTCAATTCTTGGCCCACTTATTTTCCTCTTGTATATAAATGACATAACTAAGGTTTCAATTAATGGAACAAACATATTCTTATATGCAGATGATACAAGTATAATTGTGACTAATCCGGAATACGCTGACTACAAATCAGCCATGACCAGAATATTTTACAATATTAATACATGGTTCAGAACCAATCTGCTAAAATTAAATATTCATAAAACCCACACTCTGCATTTCACTTTAATGAA